TACGACTTTGGGCTATGGTTAGTTCAGCTCCAATCAAGAATCCCCCGGGGATCCCAAGAATCCTTCGGATACGTTCGTCCCAACCTTCAACTCTTCTTTCGAGGTTCATCGATATTGAATCAATTGAACGAACTTCTAAGATTTGTTCTACTTTTGGAAGACCTTGCGTTATGTCACCAGATCTCGACTTTTCATATATAAATGTAATTAATGTATCTCCTTCATAAAAGGTTTCCCCATAATGACCATGGACAGTTGCTCCTGGAGTGACCAAATAGGGCTTAGCTGATCTTATAACTAGAGAATCAACATGAACAATGAAAATTTGACCAGATTTTTTTATGCGTGATCCATATTTCAATAGATATACATTTTCACAAAGGAATTGTCCAAGGCTAATTATTGTCCATGCCTCTTCACAAGAATCGTGATGGAGAAAACACCAATTCAAATGGAATGAATTCCAAATGATGTTACTGCAAGGATCGGGATTATAAATCCTACTATTTTCATCTAGAAAACAAAATTGAAATGGAGGTACTTAAAATATGAAATTCTTTTTAATTTAATTAAGAAATTTAGATTTCTTTTTAATTTAATTAAGATATTTGAACATGAAGCCACTACAATTTTGGGTATTCACTTAATTTTATTAGGTATAGGTGCTTTTCTTCTAGTACTTAAGGCTCTGACTTTTGGAGGCGTATATGATACCTGGGCACCCGGAGGGGGAGATGTAAGAAAAATTACCAACTTGACCCTTAGCCCAAGCGTTATTTTTGGTTATTTACTAAAATCTCCTTTTGGGGGAGAAGGATGGATTGTTAGTGTGGACGATTTAGAAGATATAATTGGAGGACATGTTTGGTTAGGTTCCATTTGTATACTTGGTGGAATTTGGCATATCTTAACCAAACCTTTTGCATGGGCTCGCCGTGCATTTGTATGGTCTGGAGAAGCTTATTTGTCGTATAGTTTAGGTGCTCTATCTGTCTTTGGTTTCATCGCTTGTTGTTTTGTCTGGTTCAATAATACCGCTTATCCTAGTGAGTTTTACGGACCTACTGGGTCGGAAGCTTCTCAAGCTCAAGCATTTACTTTTCTAGTGAGAAACCAACGTCTTTGGGCTAACGTGGGATCCGCCCAAGGACCCACTGAGTTAGGTAAATATCTAATGTGTTCTCTGACCGGAGAGGTTATTGTTGGGGGAGAAACTATGCGTTTTTGGGATCTTCGTGCTCCCTGGTTAGAACCTCTAAGAGGTCCCAATGGCTTGGACTTGAGTAGGCTGAAAAAGACCCACAACCTTGGCAAGAACGACGTTCGGCAAAATATATGGCTCATGCTCCTTTGGGTTCTTTAAATTCCGTGGGTGGCGTAGCTACCGAGATCAATGCAGTCAATTATGTCTCTCCTAGAAGTTGGTTAGCTACCTCTCATTTTGTTCTAGGATTTTTCCTATTTGTGGGACATTTGTGGCATGCGGGAAGGGCACGTGCAGCTGCAGCGGGGTTTGAAAAAGGAATCGATCGTGATTTGGAACCTGTTCTTTCCATGACCCCTCTTAGCTGATTAGCTGATATTTTATTATTTCTTATTTATATCTATCTTATTTATATCTATATATCTATTATATCTATTGTCTATTTTTATTTTTTATATTCTGGCTCGGCTAGGCGAGATAGATATTCAATAAAATAGAAGTTTTTAAGATGATTCCTTAAATTAAGAAACATGCCACTAAAAGACATATATCCACCAGATCATTCATACGGATAATGTCCAAATACCAAATACGTTCTCTATTTAATCCTTAATCTAAAATATGATCTGGCGGTAATTCTTAATTAAATTAAAAAGTTTTTATGACGATTCCTTAAATTTGACTTGGCTTCATGTTCGGCTTGAGCTTAAGTCATGCTTTCACATGTCTGTTCAAGATTGACTTTTTAAACTTTTTAATACTTGAACTTGATTTGTTTATATCAACTGAATGAGTAATTCAACGAATTAACAAGTCAAATTTGTACGAGTAAATAAGTTTTCATTTAAAATTTTCAAAAAAAAATGTTACAACTAAATCAAAATAAATAAATAGTTGAATACATTCTGAATTGGTATTTAATTATTTTACATAAATTAAATAAGAAAAAAATATATGTTGAAGGTAAGTTTTCTTGTAATCAAATAACATAAATAAATATTAATAAACTAATTCAATAAAATAGAAAATTAAAATTGAATTGTATTAAATTAATTAGAATATTCAGTAATTACAACTTAAATAATTTTTAAAAAATCAAAAAAAATTATGAATACTTACTTGGATAAGAAACATTTCATGCCTAATAAACATACATCAAATCCTCAAAATAGTTGCACACTTTTATCTCCTTAAAAGCAAGATAATTTATTATAACAAAAAAAATAAATGAGGAATAAGACGTATCAATTTTATCAAGAAAAAAAATATATTATAATTTCTCCAACTATAAAATCATTAATATAGACAACAATCATTCACATTTAATGCATATATTGTTATGGATAAATAACTTTGTAATATTTTTTTCTAAAAGTATACTAATCATCAAATTTACTATCATTCGTGAGTTGCCAATACCATAAGAAAAGACAAAGTTCTTTGATAGAGATAGAAGGGGATTTCAGAAAGTCGTTAACATGAAAAAATGGTATGAACAAATTAAACCAATTAAAGGAAAAAAACGAGTTCAGAGAAGGGCTACAACGTGCTTAGCAACTATGATTCATAGATGAGAAAAAATATTAAAGATAGACAATATTATGTAATTAATATGAATTATATGATTAATGAATAGATATTATATTTTTATAGAATGACTAATTAATCAGTATTAAGAAATCTAATGGATTGAATATGTTAATGATCTCTTAATTATTAAATTAGGTTAATTAACAAATAACTATTAATATATGTATAATTAATACATAATTCTAAAAAAATGTTTATAATAATATAATACTATTACATCTGCAACTATATAAGTTATAATTAATCAAATTTTATTTAAATAATATATCATATATGATATGAGTTTTCATCGAGCTTATTATTGAGCGTTTAACAAGTTACTTGCTGAACAACAAATGACTTAATTCATGAGCATAAATAAATAAGTTAGACCATATTCATGTTTTGTTCATTTAACCTCAGTGCCTTTAAAAAAGTTCAAGTATGTTTATCTATTAATTTAAACAAATATGGTCGAGTTTAATTGACCTGAATTCAAGTTGTTCATCGAGTGAATTGGTTCATCCGAGGCATTGATTCATCAAGTGCATTGGCTCATTTACAGCCCTACTCTTGAACTGTTGTAGTTGTTGGTGACTTCCTAGCATTTGATTCAAAGGCATTGATAGGAATTGTTATATAGTAATGATTGATGTTTGTTTATTATGAGTGATTTTGCATCTAGCTTGACAAGTCTTCCCCAAGATATATTTCATAATTGAGTATTATGTTGTTTGTGCAATTGAGTATGCAGTATTACTAAATTTCTTAAAAGGAACGATTCAGAGAAATCAAGAATCTTACTAAATAAAAATTTAGTCATTTAAATATTGAAATATTTATTTTATACTTCATATTGATTTTCTTTAATAAACACGTGCCATTATTATTATATCATTTGTCATTTTTGAATAAATTTATGATTTATTAAGTCATCCGCCTGAACTCTGATTCAACCTTTGAACCTTGAACTTTTTCAGTTATCGATTCATTATTTGATATGATTTTAAGAACCTTGGTCTCCAGTGTTATGAATGTGACAGCCCTATGATTTTTAATAAAATCATTGGTGTTAGAAGCATGTAATATTAAAAATAATTGAGATGCTATTATCTTTATGTCAATGTATATCATATACTTTTTCAAATTTAGATTGTATTTTGAAAAAAAATAATTTTAAAAAATATTTCTCGATGAGAGAAGTAAACTCCTCATTATAGGGGATAGAAGAAAAATCATCAAAAGTTGAGACCATTTTAATCTCAATATAGTGACTGCCACCAGCCAAAACATCAAGAAATGACCCAGAAATAAAGACAGTATTAGGTTTTATAGCAAAAATGAGGAGAAAAGAAAAAGGTCCTCACACAAAGTATTCAATGTTTATCAAACATTAATGTCAAGCCAAAAGAGAAGCAAAATCAATGCTGACATCAACTTCCGCTGCATCAACATCGGAAATTTAGAAGCAAGAGATCAAGAGCAATGTGATGTTAGAGTTTCAATTCCAGTTAACAAAAAGGGTTTCGGACAAACCAAAATTTGGCCCTATCCAAGTTCAAATGACCCAAATCCCTCCGGCTTTTAAACAAGTTAAAATATCGAACCTTAACCCCACCAAACTTCAACCTAGCAGGCCAAAATCCAATCCTCTTAACATGATTAGCATAAAGCATAATAGTCATTAGGGTCAAAATCGGAACAAATTTGGGACAATTTTGGGAAATCGGAACAAATTTGATGGGTCAATTTTCAATTTTGAATTAGTAGTTTAATTTTGTGTTTGTTTTAAGTTGGCTAGTTAATTTCAGTTTGAAGGGTTAATTCAAAACTTAACCAAAAATTAAACAGGTCATGATTCTAGACCCGAAACCAACCCAAAGTTTAATCAATTTATCTAGAATCATGATTTTTTTAATCGGGCTTGGGCCAAGTCATTGTGTCATGTTGATTTTTGACACCCCTAATGTGAAAGGCAATCTAAAAAAGAATTAAAATCACAGAACAACCATCACCTGTGATACAACAAATCCTAGTAGAATGCATGACAAGAGGAGCCTTATTTAGCAATGAGAAGTTATTGCACAATTGGCACAGAACATCAACAATAGTCCAAGTGAGTTCATCAACAAAAGATTAATTGATGATGTTCTATATCAGGCAATGTTATCTATATAATATGTTATAGATATAGCAAAAACATCATAATCTATTAAATATCCCAAACCTCGTGAGTTACGGTTCCATCAGATGTACTTGGCTGCTGAAGTGTTACATTACATATGGCACCATTTGCTGAAAGTATGCAAATGGTTCGAGGCCCTTGTTGTGAGAACTCCATAATTTTTGAAGCTACATCCTACAAAAACAATATATAATATCAAATGATTGTCCCAGATTAAAGAAATTTATATTAAACGTAAATGAGATTAGATTGCTAGTTAAATCATTAGATTTTTATATATTAAAGAGAAATTTATAAATATTTACTCTTCTTAAATGATTATAGATTTGAAAGCATTGTGCATTCAGAGTATCTATAGAAAGTAAAATCTTCGTCATTTTATACATCAACCGTCAAAAAGCATTTAATACACCACCGTGTTAATATTGTTGCACTTGGACAGCAACTCGATCTCTATAGGCTTATAACTCTTCTTATAGTATTATGAAGCCATAAGTGTGTATTAACTCTTAATGACATACTGCTGAAGAGTAGGCAATGGAATTAGTAATTAGAATAAATGAAATGGAAAAATTGGAAAGGCAAACATAATGAAAAGTAAATAGATGAGTCAATGTCTCACTTGGGAGGGAAGCGAGTGAAGAAAGAGTTAAGAGCCTCACGCCTAGGAGAAAGACAAGATAGATGAAAAACTCATCCCAAACAGAATTGAAGGGGAAGAAACAACACCATCAACAAAAATGTTGGTTGAGTGCAACCATTGTAGATCCTCAAGAAAACTATTACCATCTCTAAAAAAGAGACATCTAGAAGCTTTTAGGGTCAATTTAGTCTTGTTATTGGAGTAGGATGGAATACTTGGGTTTGGCTATACCCAATTAGATTGGATAATTTGGATTGGATTAATTGGGTTGATTGGATTGGGTTGATTGTGATCCATATAGGATATGCTACCCAATTAGATTGGATAATTTGGATTGGATTAATAGGATATGTAGCTATTACTTTCAAATATAAAAAAGAAGTGTTGTTACAAAGAAACTAGATAAGAATGGCCTTAGTATGCGCATATGAAATGAGGGATGAGAAATCACTTTCATGAAAAAATATACTTCGAGTTAATGTAAGAAAGTGTTGTCAATCCACAGGCTTGATTAAGAAGGAATTTTTTTTCCTTCCCTTGGAATATATTTCACAAAGTATGTTTTCTATTATATATTTCCTATTTTTTTGTTTTTCCTATTTGGATTGAGTTATAAGAAATAAAATTTTTTTCGCATATTTTCACATGGTATCAAAGTCATCTTCATCTCCTACCTGAGAAGATCGTTGAGCCTCCTTTGTTCGCTCTCGCCGCTCGGTCTCTCCTCAGTGCAATCATCACAGACTGTTACTTCGTCCTCAAGCAACATGACTTTCTTCCTCTTCGTGGTATCGGTCATAACGTCTCATTTCTTCCTCTCGTTCCCAATAGCGAACAATCATTTCCTGTTAGCACATGAGACTCCAATTCCAGGATCAGCTACACCTCCCAAGTACTTTCTCTTTCGATGTTCAGCCCAACACAACCCACAACATTCCAAATTCGGTTTGAATACATCGTAGATCATAGATCCTTATCCCTATCGGAAAAAGCTTGTTTATGCTTCAACTTTCTCATATACACAACTTGCTACTCCATCGCAGTCTGTCTCTTTGGTCGCAATTCGAATCTTTTATTCGAACAAACTACGGAATGCTCTCAAGTTCTCCTCTCTGGTTTGCTAAACAGCGAACAATTAGGATTTCCCTAGCCTCCGACTCACAAGTCTCTTGCTTGCAAACAGCCCAGACCTCTCGCCAATGCCAAACTCATGGAAACGAACAGTTAGTCACCTCCCTCTAGTTCTTATTCGCTCATCTAGTCAAATAGTTAAACTAAGGGAACACCTCTCGCTTTCATTAGAGCAATAGATCTTCTCAATTTATGCTTCACGATCTTAGCATAGTCCATTATGTCATGGCCTCACAATCTTCTTTCTCGGAAGATACATATAGATCCGAGCCTACATCTACAATCCCTGTGACACCAAATAACTCCTTTTACCTAGTCACGAACGATATAATACATGGCAATAATTTCTTTAATGGTCGCAGTCTGTCTTCATGTAGATCTGTGGTTGAGGGAAAAATGGATATCTCACGGGCAAAATTTCAGCTCCATAAATGATAGATTCCAAATATCGGCCCTAGAAAACCGATGACCACACGGTTATGCCATGTTTAACAAAATCAAAGACCACAGAGGTCGGAAAAATTTCTACTCTATAGAACAGCCAAGAAGATAAGAGAGGTTATAAGTGAAACCGACCCTAGCATTGAAAAGTCTTCAAAGTTATTTAATATTGAAACCATACGACATAATCTACAACAAGGAGAATTGAGTATTACTCAATATTTCAATGCTCTAACATGTTGGCTGCAATTAGATATGTATGAGGTCTATTCTTGAAAATGTCCTAATGACTTTGCTTTGTATAGCAAAATTACTGAACAAAAAAGAATCATAAAATTCCTCATTTATCTTATTATAGATCTAGATGCACTCAATGGAAGAAGCATGAGAAGTAAACTCATCTCTACCATTCGGGAGGCCTTCAAAAAAATTTGAAGGGAGGCAAAAAAGAATCATACGATCTACTGAAAGATCAACCTTGTGCACTCAAAACTCCTGTCATAATAACAAGTCCAAGAAATGATGGCCATGGTGCGATCATTATAAGATGCTTGGTCATGTAAAGAAAACATGTTTGAAATTACACGGTAAATTTGCAGATTAGGAATCATCCAATGAAAGATATGAAAGGGAGAATCATGCAAATGTTTGCCACAATCAATAATAACTTAGAATTCAACTCATTCATCAGGAAAAAAATTGAGGCACTGCAGAAAATACTTAGTAATAGTCAAAGTTTTGGACAAATATCAAAATCTTCGATCAAGAAACCCATCAACATATCAACTTAATTCCTCTACAATTTACACACTATTGTGTGTCCCCTTTATTCTTAAAAATGGAGTAATGGGGTCCAAAATACTTTTCATCCACTCCTTAGGCATCTTTTTAGTTTTTCAAACTAATATTAAAGAGTTTATTAAGCCAAGAAACTCTCAAATATCTGAAATATTTCTACACTTCAATTAGGATATCATCAAGTCCTGATTTTTCACTCTTTTTATTCTTTAAAGTCTCATCTTCTTTTTTACCAATGTGACGGTACAAATTAAACGTTTTATTGTTATTAACGATATTGAGATCCCGTATTAAGGATATTAAGATCACTATGATCGATTATATTTTCAGAAACTTCATTGAAAATTTTATCAAAATGGCTCACCCAACTATGTTGAATATCTTCTTCTAAGAAAAATATTTTTTTTATTTTCATCTTTAATAAACTTTACTACATATATATATATATATATATAAAATAAAAAATAAGAAGGATTACATAAAGTAAAAGAATGAAAATTTTAATACTTAAATAATGTAAAGTTAATAGTTAATTTAATAATATAAATAAATTATATTTTAAGTAATATGAATATCATTGTTTATTATAGACATCAATTTATAAAGAGTTGACGTCAAGACAAATCAGATAAAAAATTAATTAAAATCGAGTTGTTCTCAATCAATTGCATTAAAAGTAATTGATATTTATAAAATTCATGTATCAATTTATTTTGATTTATATACTCTTCTTTTTATTGCTCATGTTTGAATGTTAGGTCTCCTTTTAGTAAAAATTATGACATGTAATTTAAATATGCATAGATTATACTGTATGCCGTAAAATAGCATATGAATGATATTAATTATATGTGTGTGTGCGTGACTATGAAGAAGGCACACTTTTACAGTACTAGCAGAGAAATATTAACATACTGATGCACGTAAATGAAAAAGAATGTTAATATTGAAGTACATTAATTAATATGGTTTTAAACGGTGTTTCTAAGACGGTTGTACAGATATAAAATGATATAAATATGTTATTGAAATTGTAAACCCATTAACATGAAATCTTATAAGTGATTATATTCTTAAAGAATCAAATATTTTATACTAATTTATTAAAACTTAACTGGCATGCATATTATTTTTTTTTCTTGTATTACTATAGCGTAGGAGTGTGAGTATTCACTAGCTTTAATTAGCACGTTGTTTTAAACTATCTTTTCAAATATGAGCAATAGAATAGATAATGTATATAGAAGGCGCGGACCCTACAATGAGGTAAATTTAATTGTACTGTTTTATTTAATTTTTTGTGTTGTACTTTCATTGGTTAAATGTTAGATGAATATAGAAATTTAATTCTCACCATCCGGTCATTTGTACCCGCCATGATTAAGTCCAAGTCTCAGGCCGGGTCAAGACAAAAGCGGTATCAAAGACAATAGGACTAATTAATGAAATCTTGATAAAAAGAGCCAACAAGATAATTATAAGAAAATTTTAATAATAAAAAAATTAATTAAAAATTTAAGTTAGCCATATTAATAGTTATATCAATTCGGGCAGAGAGACACGTCTGAAATTGTAGAAGATAGTCTTATTGAAAATGATGAAGTTAGCCTATTATAAATGATAGCACAAATATTCTAACCCAGATGATAACCATGACTCCACTGACTCAAGAGTACCAATCGCATCCTATTGGAAGTGATGTAGTTGCTATGGAAAAAACTTAAAGATATTTCAGGATTTATGTTCACCGTTGTTTAAGGGAAATGAAGATTCAATGAAGCAGAGAATTGGCTGATGCGAATTGAAAAGATATTAGATAGTACAGCCTATCCAGATGAAAGAAGAGTGTCATTAGTTACATCTGTGCTAGATGGAAAAGCTGAAAGGTGGTGGCGCAGGCAGCATCAGGACAGGCTAAGGGACATACTCAATATGATGGTAAGTTGAGAAGAATTCGTTGAGTTATTCAAAGAGTGATTTGTACCCTTATCTACTCAAAGGCAAATACAAGACAAATTTATCAGCTTCGCTCAGAGAGAACAAACATTCAAGCTGTACAAAGCAAAATTTACTATAATGTTAAGGTTGCACCACAGTTGATTGCTACTACAGAAGAAAAATGTTACAGATTCTTTTCGGGATTAAATATATCAATCAAACA